AGAGCGGATAATACGAAAATGAGGCGTGTTACGCAGGGAGATATTTGTTCAGTCGAGTCCCAACTGTAATAATAAGGGTAATTTCCGGCCTAAATTTTGATTTTGTTAACAAGGGCATGTTTTGGTGAGTTTCATAGATATATAGGGAATTGTAAGTCCATGTAAAGAAACTTACGGTCTGTTTGGGAGTTCACTTTTGTAGGGTAGAGAGGGGGAGGGGAAGAGAAAATTATTTTTCATCTTGTTTGGGAGTTTTCTTAAGGGGGTAGAGAGGGGTAAGGAAGGGGAAATGAAAGGGGGAGGAAGGAAAAATGGAGGGGAAATTGTTCCCCCCCGAATCGGGCGGTAGAGGAGGGGAACAGAATTGGGAAAACTCACAGCAGTACTGAAATGTCTATATTACCCTTCATCAACAAATAAATCACCCCCGCCGTTTGAGGAGCCTTCATTCGTTAGCTGAGCCCTAGCCTCTTCCTCCTCATCTCCTCACCCCGCCTCCCCGGTGCCTACGCCGGCGGCAGAAAGCTACCATCTTTCGCCGTCTCCGGTGAGTTTTCTTATCGATCTCTAGCGTCCTCCTTTTTGTTCTTTTATTATGCAGCGTTTTGTAATTAATCTGCTAGTTTGGTTAGTGATCTTTGACGCCTGCCCTAGCTCTGCAAAGTTCTCGGATTCTAATTTTTTTTGGGGGATTTTGGGATTTAGGTTTTAGTTTTATCTGATTTAGGGTTTAGGGATTTGCGATTTTTGTTTTTAGTTGAGTATTCTGTGTTAACTAGTTGTAAAGCTTTGCCCCCCCCCCCACCAATTTTGAATTGATATTTTCTATTGATTCTGCTCGCCAGGGTTATTAGGGTTTGTTTGGTGATGCGGTGGTAGTGGGTCTTAACAACCTTTTGATTTCGGTTCGTGAGTATAAGTTTTAGAAAATGTGCATGAACCATATTTATAGTTACAGCTCAGGTGGAGGTTTAACTTATCCAAGGTTTTACTGATTTGGTGATTCTGTTTCTAATGGAATATTAGTTTTAAAGTTAAAAGGCTTCTTTGTTTTGCCTTTTGGATTATTTTACTTTGAATTTATATCAATTGGCTTCAGTGCAACATTGCCATAAAGAGCAAATGACTACATATGTTATAAAAGAGTATTGAAATTTTTATTCTAGATCAAGTAGTGTTATAAAAGAGTATTGAAATTACATAATAAACTAATTTGTGTATAGTAATAAGAGCTTCTAAATTTATCATTAGTTTGTGTATAATTAACGATTTTTAATTTTCTATTCTAATTGTGTTATTTCCATATCCTCACATAGATAATGGATGAAGCATGGGTCAAATTTCAACATGAATGCCAGAACTCAAAGAGTTACTATTGAGGAACAAGTTGCAAAATTTTTGTATATGTTGGGACACAACGTAACTACTCGTGAGGTTAGTAAGATATTTGGACGATCTGGAGAGAGTGTGAGTCGTCATTTTCATAATGTTTTAAGAGCTATGATAGAGTTGGAAGAGATATTTTTAGTGCAACCCAATGGATCACAAATTCCTTCAGAGATACGCAATAATCCAAAGTTTGATCCTTATTTCAAGGTGATGATAAATTACACAAATTCTTATCTTTGTATAGATTGTTAAAATTAGAATTTAACTAATTACTCCCTATATTATCAGGATTGTGTTGGAGCAATAGATGGAACACACATCCGAGTAAAGGTTTCTCCTACTGACGCTCCTAAATATAGTGGTAGGAAAGATCATCCAACACAAAATGTGTTGGCTGCCTGCACATTTGACTTAAAATTCATTTATGTGTTACCTGGGTGGGAAGGTACTGCATCTGATTCCAGAATTTTGAAAAATGCTTTGCAACGACGATTTCCACTTAAAATCCCTCAAGGTAATCATTAATCCTGAATAATTTATTAATGACAATGAAACCCTTTTTATCAGTTATTAATCACAATGAATTTTTTTTAGGAAAATATTATCTCGCTGATGGTGGGTACATGTTAAAAAGTGGAATAATTCCACCCTATAGAGGGGAACGCTACCATTTGAATGAGTATTCAAGAAATCCACCAAGGACTCAACGTGAGCTATTTAACCTAAGACATGCGTCACTTCGCAATGCCATTGAAAGAGCATTTGGCTTTTTAAAAAAAAGATTTCCCATCATAGCGAGCTCAACTGAACCGAATTATGGTGTTAAAGTACAAAATCAAATCATCCTAGCTTGTTGTATTTTGCATAATTTTTTAAGGGGTACCGACCCAGAAGATGATTTCCCTGAAGGGGTAGAAGGTGATAATGAAAACCCATCGGTCGAAGATAATGTGGACGAGGATGAAGATGAACAAAGAGGGGAATGTTTAAGAGATTCCATTGCAGCTTCTATGTGGCAAGATTATAATGCATGATTGTTGCAATATTTTTTTTGTAAGACTAGACTTATGTTTTCTATTTCTATTGTCCTTCATTAATTTTTTGTTGTGTTTGATGATTGTAAGACTTATGTTTTCTATTTCTATTGTACTTGGTGACTAGACTTATGTTTTCTATTTCTATTGTCCTTCATAGACTTGTAATTAATTTTCTTGTGTATTTGCTAAGATTATTATGTAAAATAGGAATGTAATTTTATATTTCCTAACATTATTGTGTAAATTAGGAATGTCAAAAAGAAGGTATACAGATGGTGATTCTTCTAAGGGAAGAAATCACATCTCTTTGGTGTGGAATTGTGCTATGGATGAGAAGTTAATTGAAGCTCTTTTGCATCAAGATGTGATTGGAAACCGGCACAATTCCGTCTTTTCACCAACGGCTTACAATCAAATAGTGGCTGAACTTCAAGAAATGTTTCCCGATAAGCCAATTGATAGGGATAAGGTGAAAAATCGTATGAAGTATATGAAATCAAAATGGGCAGCTTGCTACGACTTGTTTAAGAATGCGGGCAGCGGCTTTGCTTGGAATCGCAACACTAACATGTGGAGTGCAGAACCTGGAGTGTGGGATCAACTAATTCAGGTAATGAAAAATAACTGTTTTTTCTTTTTACGAAAGAATTATTTGTCAGTTTACAAATATTCCAAATTTGAATTACATACTTGGATTTTGTTGGATTTTGTTGGATGTAGTCAGAATATTTATGGCTCCATCACTTCAGCTAATTTTTTTTAAATATTAGTGGCACTCTTCTATTTCATAATCTAACAAATATTTCATTCTTATGCATTACAGTTATTAGATTCATTATGATCTATTGTATATTAAAATGGACAAGAAAAAGAAACTTGAAAGTGGAAATATACCAAATGTGTAAACTTGAAAGAAAAAAGTGCAGGGGTAGTAATTGCATATACTAGGCACAATGTATAAATTACTTAAGCACAATGTATAAATTGTTGCGACTGATTGACTATAATCATATACTTGCACAATGTATAAATTGTTTGCCTTATTAGTATTTTTTACAAAATTACAGGCTCATCCAGAAGCTGCTGAATGGAGGACCAAACCTATTCAAAATTATGATAAACTACTTAAGCTTTTTGCAGCTGATAGAGCAACAGGAGAGCATGCCGAAATTGCGGCTGAGATACGAGAGAGGAGACGGTCTTGTACTGATACTAACAAGGTTGATGTTGATCTTACAATTGATGGCATTGATGACATGGTTTTCTGGGAGGAAATCATCTTGGAGAGTTTTGATGGTAACCAAGAAGCAATTGACAAAGAAGACTTTCGTGGGGCTACAATGGAGACTAGGTCAACAGCAAATTCACTGAAGAAGAGCAGAAAGTCAAAGGAGGATGCTGGTGCTGAAAAAATTTATAATGGCATTGCTGTGATTGTGGTTTGCATATTGTTTGTGGTTTTAGTTCGAGTTATTGTTCGTGTTGCCCTAGAAAGCTTCCGCCGCGCACAACAGAGATTGGAGTCGACGACGAACACATTGATGATGCATACATATTCTTACTTAATTCTCCAGAGAATCTAAGGGGAGTACTTGGATGTCCAAGGGAGAGGCAGAAGCAAATACTCATGAGGATGATGCATAAGGCATCTATGCCACCCCCGCCTCATTATTAGCTTTCTACTTACTCAGCTTTAATATTTTGGTTTTCTACTTTTGATAGATGCTTTTGGGTATTTGGTGGCAATTATGGCTTCTTGTCACTTTTTTGTTATTATATGGCAATTACAAACTTGTTGCCGAATTATGGATGCTTATGGCAAACTTGGAATAGTAGATGGCGTTTGTAACTTCTTGTCACTTTTTGGTTATTGTATGACGATTATAAACTTGTTGCTGATTTGAGACATTAACTTCAGAGATCCAGTTTTACTTGTGCAGCACGTTGAGAGAGAACATAGAGGCACTTAAAAGGCTTAAATCAAACAGTTAGATATCATTTATCATGTGTTCCCTGTGAAAGGAGTTGATGTATGAAAGAAACAGAAAACTTACATTGTTTGCATACTATCGTAATTGTCTTCAAATAGCAAGAGATGGGTTTTTTTCATTTGTGTGCTAAGTTGACAGTTGTTTTTGCTCTCTTAATAATTACCAAAACTATATTCCTTGTTTCTTTTCTTTCTTTCTTTCTTTTTTTTTGGCTTTGCGTTATTGCACTTTGCAGAATTAGAAAACCTTGTTAGATTTGCATAAGACCTCAGTATCAGTAGAGCTTTTAGTTATGCAGTTTTGCTACTTTGCATCTGTTTTTAGTGTTGCAGCTAACTTCACTCAGAGTCATTTAATATTATCTTATTCTGTGCTTTTGTTAGCGCTGCTGAGCTGGGTTTTGCTCTAAAAATGCATACTCCTCGAGCATCAAGTTTCACATCATCGTCATATACATGGTAATTTTTGCAGGAACATCAGGTCTCATTGCATGGGAGTACCAAGGGATGCACCAACTGGACCTGAAATTGCAAAGCACCAGCTAAGATTACAAACTTGTTGCCGATTACAAACTTGTTGCCGATTTATGGAGAATTGCATGTGGCAAAATTGGTTTGAAGAATTGTTGTTTTTGTTTTGTCAATTTGAGTTGTGTACAAAGATTTGATAAGATTGTGTGTTATTAGTATAAGGTCATTTGTGTAAATTTACATATATTTTCTTCCCTTCCCTTCCCTCCATTATTACTCCCAAACAAGTTATATTAATTTCACCTTCATTCACCTTAATCAACTCCCAAACAACATATTACAATTCCATTCCCTTCCCTTCCCTTCCCCTCCCTTCCCCTCCCCTCCCTTTGTTTACCTTCCCTTCCCCTTCCCTAGTAAACTCCCAAACACACCGTTAAGTTTTGAGTTTTTCAAACTTTTCTAAAAATTGATTGTTTTTGTTTGGTTCACATGTAAAATATGGTGGGAAAGCAATGTATTTATTTTTTATTTTTTTTGGTTTGCATGGAAAAAAAAGGAAAACTTTTGTTGATTTGACATTTCCCACTTTCTTGTGTTTGGTTGGTTTTGAAGTGGGTAGGGAAAAGTGTTTATGGTCACCATGCTAAGATTACCCCCCACTATAGACAAATTTATTTGTGCTTGTTATGGGAGGTAATCTTAATCATATAAAAGTGCGAATGTAACATGAACAGATAATAATATCCCGAATTCATTATAAATTTCTATTTGTGTAAATAAAATCATATGAAACCTGAAATCATATGAATCGACTACTATGAACTGCATACCTGATTTGACTTGAAATATACCTGTTTGAGATGAAAAAATTAATACAAAACCTGTTTTTCAAGAAAAAATAAACGAGACATGTAATAACCTGATTATTCATAAATTTATAAAATACATACCTGAATTAGCCAAAAATTCTTATGAAATCTATAAAAAAACATATAAACAACCTGATTAGCCATAAATATGTATATAACATAGCAAAATCGCATCAAACCTGATAATTTATACCTGTTGATGAACTTTATGTGCAAAAAATCATTTGAAAATATGTCTTGACACCATGTCAAATAAATCAGCCACTTGTATATGCGAATATGGTTGTGGGCTCAAAACTTGTTCAATATCATCATTGTTAGCCATCCAGTGCAATATCAACAGATATTGCATGTTGCTAATCTAAGAAAAAGTGACAATCAACATAGCCTTAATTGAACACCCACAAACAGTATCAAAATCAACAAATCCAGCTGAACACCCACAAACATGCACACAAAATATGCTCACAAACCTGAGCATATATGAATGAGCAGCACCTCTTACAAAACTGGTCAAATGTGCACAAAACCTGGCTGAGAACAAACTTGAACAAAACAGCACCTACAACAGCAACCAACAATATAAAAACTGGTCATATGTACACAAAAACTAAGCACAAACAGTGCACAAAAACTAAGCACAAAAACTGAGCACCAACCAGCCCAAAAACTGGTCATATGTGCACAAAACCTGGCTGAGAACAAACATGAACAAAACAACACAAACAACACTAACCAACAACACAAAAACTGGTCATATGTACACAAAAACTGAGCACAAACAGTGCACAAAAACTGAGCACAAAAACTGAGCACCAACCAACCCAAAAACTGGTCATATGTACACAAAAACTGAGCACAAACAGTGCACAAAAACTGAGCATAAAAATTGAGCACCAACCAGCCCAAAAACTGGCCATATGTACACAAATACTAGGCACAAACAATGCACAATAATAGCATCAGCACACGAACAATGTGCGTACACAAAATTTGGCCATGAGCTCAAGCAGCACCTGAACAATGTGTGCACACAATATTTATGGACATGAACTCAAACTGAAAACCAACCATAAAGCCAACACAAACAACCACAAAGCCAGCACAAACTGAAAATCTGAACAATGTGTGCTCATCATCATCACAAACAGCCACAAAACCAACACAAACACAAAACTGAAAACCAACAAAGACTGGACACAAAACTATGTATCTAGCTTAACATTGCTAAAGTCTTATAAATGAACATATAGGACAGTGGATAACTTCTCGGTCCAACGCATATTTACACATTTCATGCTAGCGCTGAATACAACTATCTTATCCACCATTTTTAGCCTGAGCTCATTATCTAGGTTGATCCTACAAGCCTTACCCTTACCAACACATGCATTTGTCTTAGAACTTGATATGACTGTGCTTCCTTAGGCTGAGGAGTGTCCTCGTCATCTAAACACTAGTACAAAGAAGGGCAACCCGAACGGGTGTGTACAACCGTTGGGGCTGGTGAAACTTGCCCCAACGGTTATAACCGTTGGGGCAAGTTTCACCAGCCCCAACGGTTGTAACTTATTTTCGCGAAAAAAGGGAAAAAGCCAGAAATCCCCTCAAATTAAACCCCCGTTCTCTCTCTCTCTCTCTCTCTCTCTCTGGCTCTCTCTCATAAAAAAATCGGCCCCAAATCGGAGTTCGCTGCCGTCGGAGTTCGCTGCCGTCGGAGTTCGCCGATGGCGTCGAGAGTTCGTCGCTGCCGTCGAGACCTGAAGTTCGCCGCTGGCTCTCTCTGATTAATTCGCTCTCTTTCCTCTCGCTAGGGTTTTGATTTGCCCTAATTCTTCTCTCAAGGTTCGAATCTTGACATGGCTTCCAACGCCGGCTCATCCCGCTGCTCTGTATTCGGTGAGTTTCTGGAAAAAACCAATCTTTTTCTGCTTCGGTAGATATTAGGTTTCAAATTTGTGATTTTTTGGGTTTTGTTTCCTTGTTGCAGTTGGAAATATACCCTACGACTTCACCAAGGAGTAAATGATTGAGATTTGCAAGGATATTGGACCGGTTGTGTCTTTTAGGTTCGAATAAAAAACCCTAATCTTGATATCACTTATTTCTTGTATTTTTAGAGCGTTTGATTTGAATGTGTTGCTAGATTCTGCCAATTTTGTTACTTTTTTTGGAGTGTCCATGGATTAATTCTTGATTCTTTAAGAAATTTTGACGTCCTTGATTCAATTTTGTTAATTACTGTTTTCTTGTCATGTATTGAATCAAATAGTAAACGATGATTCTAAAGCCTGGGTTTAAGGTTACGGATTAAATATTGTTGTTCAATTCTAGGGTTTGGATATTAATGACATATATGTGAGCATTGTTTTTGTCCAAATTTGTGTTTCCCCCTGCAAGGATTGCATGTTTTCTACTTTTCCTCTCTTATTTAGTGTTAGTATTGGCCCTTTGAATTCACTGTTGTTAGATCTTTAGTTTTTTTACTTTTTGTACAGGTAATCGATGATATGTGCAATACTGCAGCTTTGTGTGGCTTAATTGTTTCGTAAATTTTCAAAGTTTAAGCATTATGATAGGTTGGTTGTTGGTACTGATCTGCAGGCTGCATAATCCTAAAATTTATGCTTAGACCTTTAATAAGCTAGCGAGTGAGTTTGGAGCAAGGTGAACCCAAAAAAAGTCTTTGGAGGGAAGATGTGATGAATTAGCTAATTTGCAATTAAAATTTTATAACCTTTCCTTTTATATGTGAATCAATAAATCGAACATTTCATGTTATGAATGGGCTTGGTTGCCTTATGCAATCAGTGAATCACTTATTTGTTCAATATAATGAACAGTTCACATTATGATCAAACCTGGCCTCATAAATTCATATTTCAGCCGCCAATAAGCTTGTATATTTATGATTAGTCTAAAAGTTAAAAATTTGACATTTTATTTCCTCAGGGAGCAACAATTATTGATCAACATGTCTGCATCGTTCGCTGGGGACAGTATAAAGAACCTTCTAGTTTTTGGGACATGCCTACATGGAGTGTTGAAGATGACAATGATCCCTTGGTACTCATCTGTATAATTCCTTTGCGTGGCTAAGTTTCATTATTTGAAGATAAATCCAAACTAAGTTCAGTTTTATAATTGTTTTTGGGACAGGCCTACATGTTTAATGCACACTAAAAGGGGATAATTTCAAGTTGGTATATCTTTCCTGAAGTTATTGTGTTGCCTTCTTTGTTTACAGAAGCATTTTAATGCACACTAAAAGGGGATAATTCCTAAAGTTATTATTATTATTTTTAATAAGAAGTTATTGTAGTTGGATTTTAGAATCTTGGCTAAAATCCTTTTCAGCAACAAGGTTGAGAATAAATGTGTGCCCCTTGACCATTGCTAAAATCTATTAGCTTGTAATTTAGTAGGTCACTTGCAATCTGCAGACTATAGCTGGCCTGAATTTAATCTATTCAACTTGTATCTAGTCAGTGAAAATTGCTTGGTACAATAATGTCAGTAATGTTGAAGCATCAAGTAGTCCATACACAGAGTTGTATGATCAATAATGTAATTCATATAACTGCAGCTTTTTACGCTGCATCTTAGCTTTGAATCTTCTCTTGATATTGTTTTTAATATTTTTGTAGGCTGGTAATCAAGGCCGTTTGACTGTCTTGCTCGTAAGCATGAAGGAAAGTGCTCCACGAAGACAGCCAGCTATTGTATTTTTGCATAGTTCTTACAAGTGCAAGGAATGGTTACATCCATTACTTGAGGTGAAACAGACTTAGTAGTTCTATTCGCTTCTCGTATTTCTCATAGTAACATAGGAAACTATTTACAGAAGGATTGTTTCTTGCTCAAGGAGTTTCTTTATACAGGCATATGCTTCAAGGGGATATATTGCAGTGGCAATTGATTCTCGCTACCATGGAGAAAGAGCTAGCAACAGGACCACTTACCTAGATGTAAGCAAATGTTCCTTCTCTCTCACCCCTCAAAACAAGTCAGAAAGAATCCTAGTTCTCAGTTACACATGATATTCTCTTGAGTTGGATGCTTGTCGGAAGGAGGTTGAGATGCTTAAGCTGGAGATTGGTCATCTCAATAATAGAATCACAGAGGTAATGAACAAATGATGTTTCATCAAATCTCAATAATAGTATCACAGAGTTGATGATGTTTTATTTTAACTGATGAAAACTTCAATGCGTCTGCTAATACTTTTGTTTTTGCAGTTGCATGAAAGTACTAAAAATGCCGACCTTGTGGAGTATGAGCGGATGAAGGATGAGCAGCAACAAATTAAGGTGAGTTGTTGTTTCTCTGGCTTTGTTTCGTATGTGTAGCATTCAAGTTAGTTTGATTGGCATACTTATTGGTTTTTCCTAATTGTTTCAGTATTTTCTTCATTAGAGTCATCATAGGTCGAAATTGTTATCTAATTCTTCCTAATTAACAGTTTTGCTGGGAAAATGAGTATTTTGGTCAAAAGCTGGCTATAGGACTATTGTTTATTGCATATTGTGAGTTACACAAAATCACAAACATAGACTCATGGACACATGCTCTAATCTACACATATTTTTTTCAACTAACACACGCACACACATGCATACTCATCTTAGCGTCTATCTTAGCGTCTATTTGTATGCTTCTAGATAAGCTTTGGTTAGTTCAAATTTTGATTGAGGATCAATCTTCTCTTTTGAATGTGTGTTTTTATGTTTGTTAGAATCTTTTCATATGTATATAATATATATAATTTTATTTGTTATTTCCTATTGCAGAAGAAAAATGAGACACTGACAAGAGAGAAGGAAGAACTTCACTTTAAAAACCAAGTCCTTCTGAAACAATTAGAAGATTCTAAATCAAGTATGTATTGCCATTATGAGCAAATAAGTCCTGTTGCTGATTTTTTTCTTTTTTTTATTTGATTTGGCCTACAGCCCCAACGGTTGAAACCGTTGGGGCAAATGTTAGCCCCAACGGTTCCAACTGTTGGGGCATCTATTTTTTTTAAAGAAATTTGTTTGCCCCAACAGTTAGAACTGTTGGGACAAACTTGGTAACTGTTGGGATTGTCCCGGCCCAACGTAATTTGCCCCAACGGTTGTATTTTTTACCCCAACGGTTCTAACCGTTGGGGCCATGATTTGCCCCAACGGTTACAACCGTTGGGGCTGACCTTCTTTGCACTAGTGAAAATGAGTACTTGAGGGGATTGTGAGGCAGACAAAGGAGAGTCAGCATCGTCTCCAAGATTTATGGACTCGCTACGACTAAACTTTTTTCAAGCATCACTAGTAAATTCTCCTCTAGCTTGATCATTCTCGATGATAAGGGCAAGATTATCATAATGCCTCAAGGGTTTATTGACATATTGTCTAAGCTTATTAGCATTCTTAAAGCTCTTATCCTGAAAAGTATAGTTGAATTAATTCAATGAAAACATGAAAATAAGATAGGGTTATGCAAAAATTGTTTAATTACCTCAATCCACCTATCCAAACATTCAGGATCCATGATGACAGTCTTGGTGTTATCATCCCAACCAGCACCACTAAGATTACGACAAGTTTCCATATTACGGAATCTTGTACGTAAATTTTTAATGCGGTTCATGACATTTTCCCATTTGAATATTGTGTTAAACTTCTCATTAATATGCTAAGAAGCCATATGAAAAGCGGTTATCTTAAAGCTTTTGTCGGGTTTGTAACACTTTCTCACCAAGTCGACAAGAAATGGAATGAACTCATCATCGTAACGGAAATCCCAAAACATATGTTTGTTACCTTGAGACCGCAAGTCTCACTATTTTTTTCTTTGTTAAGGTGTTTTTCCTCTTCTTCTTTGGATTTAGTGATGTTTCTTCCATTTCTTCTATGAGCACCCATTTAGAACCTGATTTGGGAGTTGAGCCATAACCACTAGTGGGAGAAAGTTGCACCCCACTAATATTAGAACTATGGAATTGTGTAGGCAAAGTAGGAGAACTTAGCATGCTCGTATATGACCCAAATTGAGGGTGCATCAGGAAGTAACTGCCATCATGGAATGACATGTTGGGAAATGCATGAGGTGGTTGTCTAAAGTATGACTGCTGAAAAGTATGACAACGGTTCTTAAGTATGACTGCCATCATGGAATGACATGTTAGCCCCAATGGTTCCAACTGTTGGGGCATCTATTTTTTTTAAAGAAATATGTTTGCCCCAACAGTTAGAACTGTTGGGGCAAACTTGGTAACTGTTGGGATTGTCCCGGCCCCAACGTAATTTGTCCCAACGATTGTATTTTTTACCCCAACGGTTCTAACCGTTGGGGCCATGATTTGCCCCAACGGTTACAACCGTTGGGGCTGACCTTCTTTGCACTAGTGAAAATGAGTACTTGAGGGGATTGTGAGGCAGACAAAGGAGAGTCAGCATCGTCTCCAAGATTTATGGACTCGCTACGACTAAACTTTTTTCAAGCATCACTAGTAAATTCTCCTCTAGCTTGATCATTCTCGATGATAAGGGCAAGATTATCATAATGCCTCAAGGGTTTATTGACATATTGTCTAAGCTTATTAGCATTCTTAAAGCTCTTATCCTGAAAAGTATAGTTGAATTAATTCAATGAAAACATGAAAATAAGATAAGTAGTCAAGGGTTATGCAAAAATTGTTTAATTACCTCAATCCACCTATCCAAACATTCAGGATCCATGATGACAGTCTTGGTGCTATCATCCCAACCAGCACCACTAAGATTACGACAAGTTTCCATATTACGGAATCTTGTACGTAAATTTTTAATGCGGTTCATGACATTTTCCCATTTGAATATTGTGTTAAACTTCTCATTAATATGTTAAGAAGCCATATGAAAAGCGGTTATCTTAAAGCTTTTGTCGGGTTTGTAACACTTTCTCACCAAGTCGACAAGAAATGGAATGAACTCATCATCGTAACGGAAATCCCAAAACATATGTTTGTTACCTTGAGACCGCAAGTCTCACTATTTTTTTCTTTGTTGAGGTGTTTTTCCTCTTCTTCTTTGGATTTAGTGATGTTTCTTCCATTTCTTCTATGAGCACCCATTTAGAACCTGATTTGGGAGTTGAGCCATAACCACTAGTGGGAGAAAGTTGCACCCCACTAATATTAGAACTATGGAATTGTGTAGGCAAAGTAGGAGAACTTAGCATGTTCGTATATGACCCAAATTGAGGATGCATCAGGAAGTAACTGCCATCATGGAATGACATGTTGGGAAATGCATGAGGTGGTTGTCTAAAGTATGACTGCTGAAAAGGAAAATACCCACTATTACCTTGATGCAATGACTGAGGGGGTTGAGAGGGTGGAGGCTGAGATGGCGCTACACTCTTACCTTTATGATTATCTCTTCCGCTTAATAATGTATTATCAGCCATCACTAATGAAATAGTGAGAATTAAATATTATATAATTTGTGAAATAAGAACAACTTGAGTACATGAAAGATATTTCAAAGCAAAATATAATAACATGAATACATGAATGTAAAGAAAATTTCTGAATTAAGTCTCAGTAGTTACACCATGATTATACATGAATGAGAAGCAAATATTGTCTAAGGATAGTATAGCTGGTTGTTAACGATCTCTTGGGGAGTATCATTAGGGGCTTGTCTCATGTAACGTCCACGTAGGCAAATAATTACTTGTAAAACCTTGTTAAAATATCTACTGACTGTCTCCCCTGATCTTATGAAATGAGATCTCACAATGCGATTTTTAGATTTATGACCCAAAATGTTCAGTGTCATGATAAGTTGTTTTTTCACTATTATATTCCTTGAGTCTTTTAGAAGCCTATTGTTCCTCATTATACTTGCTAGTTTAACAAAACACCACTCTGCATTCTAATATAATTCACACAACTATCACTAAAACCATTATAAATATGCCCTATGTGTTCAATTCTAGTCCTTTCTTGTCTTTTTTTCCTCACTTGGACCACTACGTATTGATTTACGTCTAGCTTGCATTCTCCTTGTAAATGTAATTATTATAACAAAAACCTTCAGCACCTTGAACCATATTAACAACACTTTGTTCATCGGTACAATCTCCATCACCATCTATCTACGATGCAAAAATCAAATTGAAATAATTAATATACCTAGCAAGCATTCATAAGCAATGTTAATAATCAAAACTTAAATGATGCATAGCAAGATCTAAAGTTAATTTTTAGTTAATATTTTCAGCAATATTTTCAGTTAATTTAAGATAAATTAAGATAATTCTCAGTTCATTTCTGTAATATTTTCAATTATATTTATAATAATTAATATAATTTTTAGTTAATTAATTACACTAATATTTTAAGTAATATTGTCAGTTAATTACAATTATATTTTCAAATAAATTTCTATTAATTTTTAGATAACTATAGAAAATGCAAAATTTCATCATAATAATTCTAAATCATACAAAATATTGAACACAAATCAATTCTGAGTTGAGAATCATACTTTAGGTCTGAAATATAGCAAGATCCAGGAAGATCCAAGTCGGCAAAAAGCCCAAAATTTTCCCTAATAAAGGCGCTGTTTTTTTAGCAAAATCCAGCAAAAACACTAAAAAAAGGAACTAGGGCCTTCTTCTATGGAAATCAAGCACAAAATCAACAGTACATAACTCCCGTAGGCCTCGAAGAGAAACCAAGGTGCGAAGAGGGAAATAAGCGAAGGAAAGAGGAGGTGACCCTAGCCCTCAGCTCCGTTTCCCCCCAAAACCCCAAGATCTGACAATAGTACAGATCGAGAGCGATTTCCTCTCATTTTTGAAGGAAATGGGGGAAGAAAAAATTTGAGGTGGAAGGGATTTCCGTGGCTGGAGGGACAAGGGGGAGAAGCAAACCAAAACTGGGAAAGAAAAACCCTAGAATGGGTTTTATCGACGTGGAAGGGCTGTCAGGAGAAGAAAAGCTTTTCCACGGCTCAAAAAACGAACCAAACAAGCCCTAAGGTTAAACTTTTAAGATTGTTATTTAATTAGTATGGTACCGAAAACTAGAGCTATCATTTTTATCATAATTATATAAAGAAGGTAAATGCTACATCATTAAAAAAAAGGCATAAATTATACTTCTTAATTACCTCACATCTTTTTTCTATTTTCAAAAAAAAATTCCAATTATCCCACTAAAATATTCCACTTTTCAAGAAATTTCCTATTGACTAATTATGAAAAAGATTATTTACAATATTTTAGCTTCAAAAAATTTGCATATTGGGATCATGACAAACTTAGAATGTTTGACTCCTTGTTATCTCACTACCAAAAAGAATTATTTTTCTTTTAGGAAATAGGGGCTTTTTAGAGTAGTACTTTTTTCCAGATAAGGAAAGACTTAATAAAAGAAGAAATTTTCGATTTAAACCTATTTCAACTTTTATTTCTAAAAACCGACCCACTCCCATTTTATTTATAGAAACCGATCCATTTCGTGGCCACGTCAGCACCGTGGCCATGAAATGGATCGTTTTTTAATCTCGCCTCTAAATAGTCGGGGTTGTCAACCCTGACTATTTTGCATGCCTTGGCTACTATACATGCTAAATTAGTCGGGATTGGCAACCCCGACTAATTTAGCACACTGTTTAATTGGTCGGGGTTGGGAACCCTGACCAATTCGAAAGTCCTTTCGAAATGGTCGGGGTTCACAACCCCGACCATTTAGCAGAGACTTTTGTCCCCAACGGACTGGTTGAGCTGAAAATGGCTAAGGGACCAAATTGTCATGGTTACCAACCCTAACTATTTGGCCCCTGGGCCCGACCCCTATATAAACCCCTAATCGTTCTCCTCACCTCCTCACTTCGTTCCCAGCCACCCCAAAACACTCCTAGCCCTCAAACTTTATTCCTCAAACCCTTATTTGTCACAAATCTTGGATTTCAACCTTAATTTTCAACCAAATTTCATCGTGAAGCTTCTGAGTGGTAATTTTTCTACATTCTCTCCTCTTTTAACATGTAGAAATCTAGGGTTTTTTCTCAAAAACGAAATTCTAGGGTTTGAACTCTATTTATAGTGGTTTATTTAGAAAATTTATTCTTGTTACTGAACATTTGCACTGTTTAATGTATGCAGGCCTCAAGCATTACTATCGTTGATCATACCCGTGCACATTCGATCTGGGACTTGACGGACTCACAGGTCCAATTTTATGTCCGTCAAGCAGCCTTCTTTGAGTGCTTACAAATTAAATGTGTGAGACTTGATTAGGCTCTCTTGACGACACTGATTGAACGTTAGAGGCCCGAGACAAATACATTCTACCTGCGCCAAGGAGAGTTGATTACATTGCAGGATATTGGGGTTTTGCTTGGACTCAGAGTGGATGGAGATGCTGTCACGGGTAGCAACGACTTTAATTGGGTAGGGAAGTGCAAAGAATTTCTAGGTCAAGTTCCTCACATGAAGGGTGGTAAGATCAAGCTTGAATGGTTGAGAAACAATTACACGAATGTACCGATCGATGCGACCGAGGAGATCATCAAGATGTATGTCCATGCATACATACTTCATATGATCGATACTATTCTTTTTCCGGATTTCACGAAGGATTCGATGCAAGTGAGGTGGTTGCCACTCCTGGAGGATCTTGAGGATTATGGAGAATTATCATGGGGGAGTGTCGTGTTAGCGTATCTGTATAGGGAGATGACCAAAGTGGCATTTGTTCAAAACAAAGAATTCAAGGGGTGTCTCACTCTGCTACAGATATGGTCTTGGGAGATATTGCATTTGGGTTGCCCAGATTTGAGGGAGACTCATGCTCTCGATGACCATATTCCATTAGGCTGCAGGTATTACTAAGTTATTTTGTAATATATATGATTACATATAATTTTATACATTTATTTCAATCTATACTAACCCATTGTATATAAAATAGGTGCAATGTGTCCAAATCTTGACATACCTCACCAAAGGGCCATGAAAACTTTTACAGGAATGAGCTTGATCAAATGGAGGATGAACATGTATTAAATCATAATATCTAAATATATTCAATCATTACATTATTTATTACTGATATCTGCTTTACTTAATCTTTTTATAGGTCAAGTGGATGTCATATGAACTAGTTTTGGAGTCACTACCAGATATTTGCAGGGAAGGTGAGGATGCATGGCGTGCTCGCGTCCCGATCATATGTTTTGAGATTGTCGAGATGCACGTGCCCGACCGTGTGCTCCGACAATTTGGGCTCCAACAACATATTTCGTCCCTGTGGAGTGAATAAAGTGAAATCCCAAAAAAGATGCACATCATGCAAATTGGGAATATATTCGACATGCTTACATCAGGAGGTGGGAGTTGAGGGAGGAACAAGTAGTGATGGAGAGGGCTGACACACCTGACCTAGGTGTGTATTTGCGGTGGTATTGAAGGATTACTCGCAGGTGGATATTTCAGGAGAACAAAACCCCTAAGGAGTACATACCAAGAGGCCTCGTTGAGAGAGAGTTGGTAAGTGTATAAGCAAAATATACAGTTATGTTGTGAGTTTTATTTTACTATCATCCACTTGATAATAATTTTTTCGGTTTTTATCTTATAGGTACAAGAGCTCGTAGAGCTTTCTACTATGGCATGATGCATTACGAACGACTACCGAGCCAGAGCCGAGGAACACGTTCCTTCGCATGATAAAAAAGATTCGGTCCGCTCTTCAGAGGACGTGTAATGCAAGACGTGATGGACGTGAGGAGCGACCAATTGAGTACGGGCGTCGACGGTTCCGAGAACACACGGGGGCATGCTCAAGCTGTGCACATGATGAAGCTGGCGGCTCACAGCAGACTCAAGCCGAATGTTCACAGCCGGTTCGAGTCGACGAGGATGTCATGCACTCTCAACTTCACACACAACCGGACGAGGATCTCATCCGAGCTCACATCGAAGGTGAACGGAGAAGGGGAGAGGAAGGAGAGGGAGAGGAAGAGGTAGAGGAGATGGAGTTGTAAATATTTGTTAAGTTTCGATATACTTGATAGGATTTTTTGCGTTTGAAACTGAATATTATGTATCCGATTGAGTATTGATTATTAGTATGTGAATTGCATGGTATGTATCCGATTGAATATGGATCTTTAGTAAGTGAAATGAATGTTTACGATTATGAATTAGTTGTTATTTGTGATTGTGATTGCATTATAGATTGGAGAGGAAGAGGTAGAGGAGAGGGAGTTGTAAATATTTGTTAAGTTTCGATATACTTGATAGGATTTTTTGCGTTTGAAACTGAATATTATGTATCCGATTGAGTATTGGTTATTAGTATGTGAATTGCATGGTATGTATCCGATTGAATATGGATCTTTAGTAAGTGAAATGAATGTTTACGATTATGAATTAGTTGTTATTTGTGATTGTGATTGCATTATAGATTGATAAATGTGTATCATTAGTTGGTGGATTGATATGTACTAACAGGAGTTTGATTTTTCAGCTGAAAGTGGGGAGGAAGAGCTCTGCAAAATGGTCGGGGTTGTCGGGGTTCCCAACCCCGACCATTTCGAAAGGGCTTTCGAATTGGTCGAGGTTCCCAACCCTAACCAATTAGACAGTGTGCTAAATTAGTCGGGGTTGCCAACCCCGACTAATTTAGGGCTTTCGAAATGGTCGGGGTTGGGAACCCTAACCAATTAGACAGTGTGCTAAATTAGTCGGGGTTGCCAACCCCGACTAATTTAGCCTGTATATTAGCCAGGGCGTGCAAAATAGACGGGGTTGGCAATCCTGACTATTTAGAGGCGAAATTAAAAAAACCGATCCATTTCGTGGCCACGAAATGGGTCAGTTTCTATAAATAAAATGGGAGTGGGTCTGTTTTTAAAAATAAAAGTTAGAATGGGTTTAAATCGAAAATTTCTTCCTTAATAAAACTTACATTCATCAAACATTACTATCACAAGAGCAAGTTTCCAAATTCCAACTGATGCTCAAGGCTCATACTGATCAGCAAACTTCAAGGATCCTAGAGATTGAGTGAAGTAACCCAGGTAAAAGCTAAATGTTCCTCGATGCCTGTAACAGTCTTTCCCCGTTCTCTATCCTTTCAATTATTTCTTCAACTCCTCTGATTCACATTAATAATTTATATACGCTAATTATTTGAACTGTTGCTCAAAACATGATTCACAATATAGATCACATATATTCAAAGACCCCAATTGACATGAACATGTCTCCCAAGAAACTGCTAGATATGAGAGTTTCTGATTCATCTTAGAACTTTGGCTCTAAATCTTCATTGTTCATTGATCTCAAGCATCAAACTTACTAGGCAATAGTACCTGAAAAATACAATCATGGATGAGTTAGCTTAATGGTGAAATCCATAAAACATATGAAAATCAGTCAAGACATAATTGTTCATTTCTCAAATACAATTGAATAAGGATCATAATGCAGTGATGTTTGGGAGGGAAAATTCCTACAGAGGACCTGTACAAAAAATAAAAAATAAAAAATAAAAAAAATCATACAGGAAGCAGAGATCAGGAAACGGTTTCCACTATACAGTGTAAATCAATCCAATCATTGTAGTCAATATCATAAATATCAGCGCAATCAGAACACAATCACCAATAGCAATGCAATCATCAACTGAACAATATGTGTTGGGATCAAATCATGTTATGGAATTTCCACTCTTTTTACAAGTGCTTTTTGGGCTGAAATTTTTGAGGTAAATTGCAGGTAGCCACCTTCTTTGTATCTCCAATATCATTCTGTCATTTCTCAATCCCTCAGTTCACAAAGGAGGGGGGTATCAATACTTTATCCTTCTCAGGATGACAATCCGGGTGTGATAAAGTGCTACTAAAATAGTTGAGGGGTGATAAATGTTACCGAAGATATAGTGAGGGGCTACCAACAATTTCACTAACATTTTGATTAAATAAAAAAATGTTGTGAATATTAATCAAGTCATAAATCAAGGGAAAAAAATTCAAATCAAGGAAACTCACCTAGTAAAGCTTGGGAAGGTGTATATGGCAGCTATATCTCTAGAACAATAACTGTTGCAAAAAGAGAATCAAATTAGACCCTGAATAAAGATTCTTTAATCTAAGTCTACTTGTACATACAATCAGAATCGGTCTTGACCCATTTACTTCCATCTTCTTCTTTATCCTGTATCTGCTCTTTATTTTCCAATGTCGCCACTGATATTCTCTCCAAACACTTTTTGGCCAACATAGCTGCAGAACTTTGAGGATGTATCTTCTTATGAAGTAAAACCTTCATTAACTACAAAGAAATTTCAATAAAAAAATTTAAAAGTTTAAGCTACCAAGTTTTACATAGAAAATGCCATGCACATAAGATGGCAATAGGATAAACTTCACAGAACCATCGAACTTTAGGGGTTTTGCACAAAACTCGTCTGAACTTTATAAATCGTAGAAAGTTTTCATGAACTTGTCTCACTTAACTACCATGACTGGCAGGCAACAGTTAACTGAAGTTGTCATTTGCTTTCCATGTGATTACTCTTGTACAATCTTACCCCCGTCTACTAAACACAACTTAGTATTATCCTTTCAGGTAAGGATGGTTGAAAAGTAAAATGGGTTGATGACTTTTTACTCTACCTCATAATTACTATATTTATAATTCATAACTGTGAAAATCCAGTAGGATTTACTATGATTTATAAAGATCAGGACTGTTTTGTATCCCCAAAGTTCGGGAGTTTAGTAGAATTTACCCTTATAAATTTTCAGCCATGTTTACCTTCTCCATCCTTGTTTCTGAAGGTTGATCCTTTAAACTCGGAACAGGTGCAAATCCACCGCCACAAACAAATATCTTCTTGAGAAGAAATGAGAATGATTTTTGCTTGATTGCATTGCGTTTGTCTGCTAGTATATCTTTGGCTATACTTAATATGATCCTACTATCAGGTGATAGATCACCATTATTCTCTCCACTCTCCTGGTTATCAGAAAACTTCACCCCATCTCTGCGATCAACCTCTAAACTCGATGGGTAATTTAGAAATCTATCCAATGGGATATTGGTTCCATCGATGCTAGACTTTGTCTGACGAGACAATAAAATTGTTAGTTCCTTCTGTAGCTTGATCACTTCTTCAAGAGAGTAGTCTAATTCTTGAGGTGATGTTGAGTACTCAGGACAATTATGGCCTTGTGTCTTCTCTTCTGTTGGATCAGTTTTACCAAAGGTTCCTATGGCAAACAGTGATCGAGGCCAATCGCTGAATTCTTCTTTATGATCATCAGGAATAGATGTGCCTGCAGAAGAACTATAGAATAAGATGCAAATGGTAATATCATAATAATAGTACAATTTAATCAAGCATTATATTAATATAGGGTGAGATGCAACAATGACTCAAAGATTCAGTAACCACCAGCTTGACATAAACCCTATAATTAGTTGTAGAAAAACTAGTTCAAATGGATGTACATACATTTTTCTTTCACTTGTTCCTAGAAAAAGCCTCCCACTTGCTTGGATGCTTCAAGGCTTATAATTGATTAAAATCATAGGAGAGGATACTAGAAACATCACATGCTTTAAGTTTTGAGCCAAAGGGCTCTTCACCAATTGGTTCACATTCATGTTACTTTGTAACTTTCCTTTTTAAGGTTGCAAGAAGTATCAGTTTTACATTGTTTAATGTAAATTACCTGCGAGAATAATTGTTATCAACTAAACCCAATACATCTAGGCTCTAGCTCTGTCTAACACCCTTGGCCAAATAGATTTCACGTTGAAGGGAACTTCGCATACAGTACCATGAATTTGCAAAAAAAAACTAACATAAACTTTGCAAAACCCACCAAAATTCATGGTCATTTTAAAAAAAAAAAAAAAAAAAAAACCACCCTTCAATTAGAAACCATGGGATTAAGCGATGAAATATATTGTGGGAGAAAACAGAACATCTTCTGTTGAGTTACTTAGAATTAGCTTGGCATGTCAATACAATAATATTTTGTCATACAAATTCATTATTGTGTAAGTTGTTTCTCATCAACCTGATGGGAAATCTCAAGCATGTTAACCTACATTACTGTCATATGGTTTAAGGATGTGCAGCCAGGAAGTAACCATTCAAGTTACTCCGGTATCAATAAAGAGTCTAAAATAAAATATTCACCTCTTATGTTGAAATAATTTGGTAAAAAAATTATTAAGGCCACCAGCTTTACAAAAAAAATATCTTTATGTCGATTCAATAAAAAAGGAAAAGAAAATTACAATATACAGAATATTCATAAAAATGTTTAAAATTTCCATCATTCATGAGTAAAAAATAATTGTATCAACTTTTTATAGCCCACATACACTATTGGGAGTAAAAGAAAATAATCTGAGTGATAAAAGAAAATTCATCTCTAAAGAACAATATGAATATATGAAGATGGGTGGAAATAAACAATACTTGATAAAATCTCCAAGTTTTATTTATGTGAATTGTGAAGTTCTAAATGAGCGATAAGCTTAATATCCTCAAAACAGGCGGGATGCTGCTAAAGTAATTCGTTCATATTCTACTCGATAAAGATGGCAATCAAAAGGTGTGTCTTCAAAATCAGATAATTGAAAGAAAAAGACAAGGGAGAAAACCATACTACATTTAAATGAAAGGTGCAAAACAATAGAGAATTTGTGCTGAAGATATTCTCCGAAGTATCTTACATGCAGTCATCACTCTAGAGTAGCTCTTGAAGGAGAGAATGATTTACTCAAATTGACAGGAAAACTACCGCCAGGCAACTCGAGGGAGGGGGTGGGGGGGGGGGGGGGGGGTACAAATCAAAAGTGTGCACGTTTTGACAATGTAAATACAAATCAAAACCATGACTACAAAACAGTGAGTGGAACTCAACATCTATTAACGCTCATATCAGTCTTTCCAAACAAAATCCTAGAAGCTAATTAAGAGCACTTACAACGAGATAAGCAAGAACCAACATCCAATCTCTTCTCTTCGTGATTGCCACTGAGCTTGCTTTGCATCCAACTAAATATCTGTAATCCACAAAGATAACATAACCAGTTAATAAAATGACAAAACCAATGAAAATCACGGCATCCTATAATCATCTCTGTCATTGCTGCCAACTGTAAGTCTTTGCAATTCATACCCCCATATCTGCCACCGAACTTGAAGACTTTCGAAGATATATGTGAGATAGAGAGATAGAGAGAGAGATGCCAAACTTGAAATCTTCTCAGAGAAAGAATGTAAATTTAGAAGAAAGGAACAGAAAGTAACCATATATAAGAATCCTTGCCCATGGATGCCTTGGGAGGGTTAAATAGCTGTTAGGATGAGCATAAGTGCAAGAGAACATCATGGTGGCCTGTAAGTAATGCTATCTTTGGGAATTCTTACTAAGGAACATAAGTTATCAGATGATAAGTGCTACAAAATTTCTTTCAGAAAAGAAATAAGAGTTGGAGGGGAATGACCAATAGTTTACTAAGAGGTATATATATGGAGCACTCTTAACCTATTAACAAAAGAAGGAAAAAAGGGCACTACTATCATGGTTGCATGTGGATACCTTAATTATAAATCTGAATGGTGTTTTCAGGTGATTCAA